GAAGGTCAGATTGGCCAAATATTTTGTACAACCTCAAGGCTACCTATGACCCACCTACCCCCCAAATTTTAACCAAATCCGCCGACCCCCACCTTGTCACGGTCTGCATGGTCCTCTCGTGGACACACTCTTAAATATAATGAAATTTCTCTTTTAAACACAATCCTCCTTAGCCGCGAATTGGAGCATAAAAACGGGAAAATGTGGTCTGGAAATCACACCCTCCAATTTTAAAACCATGTCATTACGCAGCTGAGCTCGACAGCAAACAGTGGTTCCAAACAGTGCGACCCTCATGTCGCAACTCTTTCTATAATTATACGGCTCTGATTCACACGCTGTTGTTTGGAAAAAAAATAATTTACTACCCGCAAACCCTCGACAAAATGATAAATTGGGAATATGCTAGAGAAAATACAAGGATTTGGGGGAAAATGTGCTATGTCACCCCCTAAAAAAATCTTGGCGATGCCCATGTTCTTAATACATAATTGTCTTGCCGTTTACGGTTTAATAATTTAAATGCTTCCATCCAACGTGCAGTTGTGTATGGGGTTTAATGACCAGTCTGCTTTTGGTATTCCACAAAACAGCTTTTATTTCCAACAAATGTTTTCAAAAAATAATTTGGTGAAACCTGATAGCACATTAAATGTGTGCGGGATAGAACTGAGATATGTAGGCTGGAACCAAGTCTAGCTGCTCTGGCCTCATCACAGCAGTATTCGGTCGCGCACATGATAGTTCCCAACTTGAGTACCTCGAACATGTAGTTTGGGTTGAAAAAAAGTTAATTAATCTGATTAGTTATTTAATTGTTAGCATTTAGTAGTTAATTACGGGTAATAATTTTGGGTAGGGTCTGCCATATGATCGTCAGTTGATATTGCAAGTGCATGCACTAATACTTCAGAGCAACAGCTTGTGATAAGGCTAGGCACGCGCTCAGAGTTTGCGTTTCACGTACGCTCGCGCTTACAAGTTGGCTGGCCGAAGCTCCAACTGAAAACCTTCAATTGACAGGGAACCGTGGGGATTTCCCAAAACATTGCAGGGCAAGGGCTTCCGTACTAGTCATAGACTGGTGAGTGTTGTCGCTCTTTCTTGTGTTGGCCATTATTCACATTGACAGCAACGTTTTTGTCTGTTTACAAATCTGGCCTTGCGACATTGTTTGATACAAACTCCGTGTACAGTATAGTACTAGTACTAGTAGTAGCATATAGCTTTACGTGTATTGTGTGCACGCGCCGCATGTACATGTATGTAGTGCGTGCGCTGTCTCATCTGTTATGCCTCGTGGGGCGACCTTTGACCTGTTCTGTTTGCTCACCAAATTAGTTTAGTCTCCACCGCAGTCGCCATGTGCGTTTTGAGCATAACTCATTTTAAATCATATTTTCTGAACTTCGTTAATTACTGAATATTTTCATTTCATTTCAGAAACATTTATTTCCACATGAATAAGCACTCTAGAAAACAAAACAATTGTTACATGAAAACTACTAAGTGGAGGCATTACACAAGAAGCCGAAGCTTATAAACGGAATGCCTTAAACACAACAAAAAATATATATATAAACAATACTGAAAAAGGAAGACTAAATTCCAAAGACAAAACACAACAAAACAAAACAATGAAACAGACACAGACAAACAAACGGAGTGGACATAAACTTAATAAACTTTACGACGGACATACGAAACATACTAGTGATACAACGACACAGTTTATAAAATGGATGATGCAAGCAAAAGAAAGCACAATTAAAGCGAACGGTATGAATGTAGAAAAACCAAAAAAAGACAAAGCAAACTATGCTATATACTGGGAGATAAGATGGTTCTTGAAAGTGGTTTTAAATCGGCCAACAGAGGACTGCGATTTCATAGACTGACTGAGTCCATTCCATAGACGAGGTCCATGAAAACGAAGGGTGTTCATTACGTATGATGTGCGTGCAAGAGGGATGTAGTAGTTATTATGTGATCTAGTATGGTATTGATGAATATCGTTAATTGAGGTGAAATATGAGGAGAAAGTGCGAGGAAGAAGGTTATTAGTATATTTGTACATTATTATACCAGTTTGAAGTTTATTAATGTCGGTGATTGTTAGTGTGTGTAATCTGGCAAACAAGGGTGCTGTGTGATCACGAGGACGGGACAGTGTGCAAATACGAATAGCCCTTTTCTGTACGGTAATAAGAGATTTAAGTTTGTTAGTGCTTGTGCGTGCCCACACAATATTGCAGTAGTTCAGATAGGGGAGAATGAGAGTATTGTAAAGAGAAAATAAAGTGGTAGATGGGAGAAAGGAGCGGAGCTTAGAAAGTACACCAGTGTTTCGGCTGATGACTTTGGAGACAGTAGTAATGTGGTTAGACCAGGAAAGTTTGTCGTCGATGGTAACACCCAAGAATTTTGTGGAATGGACTTTACTAATGGCAGTATCATTGATTTTAACTGTTCCATTACCACAAAAATTCTGAGACCTGGAGAAGACCATGTATTTAGTTTTGCTAGAGTTGAGAGAGAGTTTGTTGGCTTGAAACCAGGAAGAAACTTTAGTAAGCTCGGTATTGAGGTTACTGACCAAGGAATCAAAGTCTGTATGAGACGAAAGAATAGTAGTGTCATCAGCGAAAAGAATAAACGACAAAGTGTTAGAGGAGCAGTGAAGATCATTAACATATATAAGGAAAAGAAGAGGACCAAGAATAGAACCTTGAGGCACGCCATGATCAATTATTTTAAGAGAAGAAGAAGATTGTTTGATAGTGGTGAACTGTTTGCGGTTGTTAAGATAATCAGAAAACCACTGATGACAGATGCCTCTAATGCCGTAATGTTCAAGTTTAGAGAGAAGAATAGAGTGGTTGATAGTATCAAAGGCTTTAGAAAGATCGATAAAAACACCAATAGAAGATAGCTTATCAGAAAGAGAGTTGGACAGAGAATCAACAAGTTGGATCAGAGCCATATCAGTAGAGTAACTGGTTCGAAAACCGAACTGCCGGTCATAAAGAAGATGAAATTGGGAAAGGAATTTGAAAAGTCGCTTATAGATAAGCTTTTCTAAGATTTTTGAAAAACAGGGAAGAACAGAAATAGGACGATAGTTACATAAATCATGGCGATCGCCAGCTTTGAAAACAGGGGTTACCTGAGCAATCTTAAGATTAGAAGGTACAGATCCAGTTAGAAAAGAGAGATTAAAGATGTGAGCCAGTTGATAAGAGATAAAAGGAATAGAAGACTTGACAACAGAAGGGTGGATAGCATCAAACCCACAGCACGTATCACCTTTAAGATCTTGAACAATCTGAAAGATTTCATCAGAGTCGGTTGGTGTAAGGAAAAGAGAAGAATTGTTAGAGGTGTGCAAATAGTCTGTGAAGTGTACATTTGAAGGAGGGATTTTGTTAGCCAGTCTGGAACCAATATTAGAGAAGTAGTCATTAAAAGAGTCGGCAATATCTGGTAGGTTGGAAATAATCTGCTGGCCATTGATGAAGTTGTCTGGCAGATCATCCTTCTTGTTCTTGCCAAGGATATTGTTGATCTCACGCCAAGTGCTTTTGATGTTGTTTCTTTTAGCGGAGAAACTGCTGGCATAGTGATTCTGTTTGGCCATACGAATGACTTTGGTGAGACGATTACGAAAGGCTTTGTACCTTTGTTCATTGGCCTTTGTTGGGTTTTGCAGAAATCGTCGGAAAAGCCTTTGTTTGTAATTGCACGATTTCAATATGCCCCTAGACATCCATGGCTGGTTGTTCCTTGTTCTGCCTCTTTTCTTTGTAACAAGTGGAAAGTGGTGATTGTAAAGATCGGTGAAGTTAGTAAGGAAGGTGTTATAAGCGCTTTCAGCATCAGTACATTCATAGACTTGACTCCAGTCGTTGTACTGAACATCTGCATTGAAGGCTTGAAGTGTGGTGCTGTTGATGTCTCTGGTAGTATATGTGCTGGGAGGGGGGTTATAACGAGTGAAACAGTCAGGGGTGATCTGAAAGAGAGGAAGATGATCAGAAATATCAGCGTAAAGTATTCCAGCAGTGCAAGTGTTGGTATCGTTGTTAGTAAGAATGTTGTCTATGAGAGTAGCACTATGTGGAGAAATACGAGTGGGTTTGTCTATCAATGGACGCAGACCATATGAATAACAAGTATTCGCAAAATCCTCTGTTGGTCGATGAGTAGAACACTTGTTCAAGTCAAGGTTGAAGTCTCCCATTATATAGCACAGTTTTTTCTCAGAAGTGATTTTGTTTAGGCAGAAATCAAAGGAACTATTGAAATTATCAGTTGATGTACCAGGAGCTCTGTAAATATTACCAACAATAAGATTACAACCACTGTCACGTTTGATCTCAATAAAGACACATTCAAAGTCGACACACGAAATCATGAGATCATCTCTGGTGTTGAAATTAAGATGATCACTGATAAACATGGCAACTCCTCCTCCTGTTTTGTTACTACGTGAAGAGTGAACAAGATGGTAATTGTTCATGTGAACATAGGGAGGAGGAGTTTCATTAAACCAAGTTTCAGTGAAGCCGTATACAGAGAACGAATGATTCAGTGAGCAGAGGTAATCTTGGACGCCAAAGAAATTTTTACAGAGACTCCTGGCGTTTAAGTAGTAAATTGAAAAATCACGTAACGAAGAATTACTGTTCAAATTATTGAAGCTGTTGGTGTCAAAATAGGAGCAATTACAATCACCAAAAGAAAATAAGCCGTCATTGTCATTAGATGAACCGTTATCAATAAACATCACAGCATATAACGCACACAAGTTGAGAGAATTAAATTAGGAAATAACAAAACGTATAAATGAAATTATGAGGCAAAACTGGAAGTTTAGACAAAAAACAAACAAAAAACAGTCTCAAACAGATAATAGTATACATACTGAAACTTAAGGATATATTAGCAAAACAATTACTTGAACGTAATCAACAAGAAAATCAAGGAGAACAATAGGTCGTTATGTTTGATATTACAAACCATTTGTCTATGGACAAAGTTTGTTCAGTTCTTTGAGGGTGGTGATTGATGTCTTTGTCTTGTTCTTCAAGAGCAAGATGATCTTACCATCTCTGGTCCAGACGGCTTCAAATCCATCACATCGTCTGGCCTCTTGATAAGGCTCATGCCGCCTTTTTGTCAAGTTCTCGGTGATGTGCACAGAAGACCCTTTCAGATGGCGTTTGTTGGCAAATACCAGCGAGCGTGATCTATAGCTCGTGAACTTCACGATGACGGGGCGTGGCCGTTGGGGGGCACCAGAGGGGGTAGTCGATTTCCGGGGCTTGCCAAGGCGATGAGATCTATCTAGATCGTGCAAGTGGAGATCTAGCTTGAGTTTGTTGTTGAGTACCTCAAGGGAGATCTTGTCGGTATTTTCGTTGGGGGTCTCTGGAATACCGTGTATCAGTAGACAGTTCCGACGGCTGTATTGCTCAAGATCACCAATCTCCTGTTTCAATTGGTCGTTTTGATCGGATATTTTCCGATTTTGATTGTGCATCTTTTCCAGTTGATCTGAATGTTTGTTGATATCCGTTGAAGTGGCCTCGTAGACATTTTGTGCGATGGTTTCCTGCACAGCCGATGCTATGGAGTCTACAAAAAGCTTACTTGCAACTAGACTATCAGCAAGCTTACCCATCATGAGACCAGAGTCGATGATCTTGTCTGCGAGGAGTGTAGCGATGGGATCAACGATGGCTTTCAGGGTAGCTGGATCGTCGATGATAGATTTAGCAATCTGTTCCCGAAGTTCAGCATTTTGTTTGGGGTTGCTGTTGGCGTCAACTGGTACAGTCTTAGTTGTTGGTGTAGAAGAGATACCTTGTTGGGTCGTCCCTTTGTGTTGTGTTATGTCATCGTGTGAAGATGACAATTGTGCCTTTTCTAGGCATTAATTTTAATATTGAATTATACTATTGCTGTGCCACTGCAAGGTTTATATTATTTTGACATTATATTATTGTACTGAGTCAAGAATACAAAGTAGCCTATAATCTACACTACCGACCCAGGTGGTTGTTGGCTAAGCGAATCTTTGACTGTTACTCCTTGTAATTGTATTAATTACAATTGACTGCAATTATGTCTGATTGTAAAGCACTTTCAACGGCAATGACAACCAATATAGCTGAAAATGTTTTCGTTTTCTTTTCCTCTGCCTATTTTGAGCCAGACAAATAATGTTCGGGAAAGCAGATGTTTGTGTCTCTGGATTCAGGGTTTGCCTCCCTCCCCTCAGTTCCTTTTCTTTATATGCGCTGAGCAACCTCAGTGCACACCCATCATATTACTACATATGATAACCGTAGGAGTTTATGCAAGACTTTATTATTTTGTTTTGGCATTTTGTGTGTATTTATAAACGAAAATTTTGGTCAACCTCTCTGCCTTAGCCAACTAAGGCACATCCAAAGAACGAATCGAGTCAGCCGAGTGAGACGATCAACACATTTCCGTCAACTGATATCCACACAGTCCACAACATCTCCGCTGATTACCTCGAAAAATTAAGAAAGAACCAAAACCCATTCCACATACACTGTAATTACGTACTGTGACGCACTCTACAGATGAAGAAGGTGCTGTCAGTTAAAACGTTTGGCTGACTACCATCAGAAAAAAAGTACCGAAAGAGAGTCAGTTAATTAGGACCACTAACATTCATAATTAAACTTTGGAAAGCGCATGCTTAGCCAACTCATCCACAATTTGCCCGCTTACAATTTTTTTAATGGATTTAATCCAAGTAGGCCTAATCTTTTTTTTTTCGTACTAATTTTTTCCATTTTGAATTAATTATCTTCAGTTGTGCCTAATCCATTTCTATTTTTTAAAAGAAATATATTTCACATTCAGATTAATGGCTCCCCGGCCGGAATTCCATGAACGATGATTATATCAGGCAACAGACACCAATTAATTACTACCTAACCAGTGATGTGAACACAATTAATGACACTAGACGTTTTCCCAGACAAATCCAGACATATCTCTCAAGCTGAAACTTTTAATCAATAAACACAGCTGCCTCAAACTTTTTCTTTGTTATATGCCGACGACACATTCCGGTCTTGAAGCCCCAGAAAGCCTGTGACAGTTCCATTGTTGCAGTGACATTCCTCTGTGTTTACCAAGTCAAAACATAGACACTTGCACTTGCTCTCGGTTCTTTGGCAGAAGACTCATGTAGTCGGTGTTCCAGTAAAGTTCTGTACGCGACTTGAACAAACAAATGACAAGTTACTTTCCAAAACGCGATATATCCATTTGTAAAAAAGACATGACAAGTTTCCACAATTATAAAACTTCAATTAAAGTATAAAAACAGTATGACATTGACAGCTGTTTCTCAACTGTTTCGCTTTCTTAATTTATTAAATTACTATGTGTCCAATCGCTTAAAGTCAGTGTTTAATTGCCCAACACTATCCATTAATACTCTAAACAAGTTTAGTATCTTATAATTATTAAATTATGTTTACATAAAACTGTGAGCAGACAGGAAAGGTGGAATTCTAACGTTGATCGCATTTTGGACATAAACTCTTCAAACATTTATTCTGGTTCGAATTGATAAGATGATATGCTCTAACAATGTTTTTTTTTAATTGACTCTTTTTAAAGCGACCACGGACGGGCTACCTCTGCCTGTTCTGTCTGGCATCCTCATCAGGAAACTTACGAAAGGATCCAGAAATGCAGGTAAGTCCTTTTGGATAAATCTTTCCATATTAAGGTTTGGGTACACATAACCTTGCTATCACTTTGTAAACAACTTCCACTCGGGAGGTAACGCACTGTTTAAACGTCGGTGTAGGGCAACACCTAATATTGAACTTTGAAAACATGTTTAGAAGCTGAACATTATGCGTCCAGTTTCTTAACGTCAGTGTTCAAGCGTTAAACACTATATCCATCAATACTCTAAACATGTTTAGTACGTACAAATGTTTACAAACTGACAGCTAGAAAGTGTTTAGAATAGTGTTTAATCGTTAAACACAGAGTTTTGCAGTATACTAACCGGGTGTTTGCTCTGATTGCTATGTAAACAAAATCTCAATATTAAATTGTACGATGTAAATGTAAAATTGTCTGGCGATCGCACTGCGCGCTGGTGGGTACCCTTGTTGAATGTAAGGCAGGAAACAGTATTACTTCAAATTAATCGTTTTGAAGCGATAATTTTAGTATATATATTGTATTTAATATTATATTAGAAAGATTAACAACGAATTTGACTGGAGCAATGTTCAACCTATAACCTCCGGAATTCCGTACTGGTGCTCTAACCCCCTGAAGGCTCTTTGGGGGTCAAGAACCAAATACCACAGAATATTACATAATGTTGTGCACTCTTCCAAGTTCTTGTATGGACAGAAATGTATACAACAGGTTACTATACTCAGTAGTGTTTTGTAGCTTTAGGTGAGGTTAGGGTTAACTGATATAAATTTCCATACGTATCTTGGCGTTTCAGCATTTTGTCTTTCCATCTTTTTGTGGTAGCAAGTCAGAGGCCATTAATAACGCGCCATTAATATCCCTTAGTGATTATTTGAATAAATATGCAATATATGAAATATCATTTGCAGAGAAGAGAAAGATGAGTTTTGTACACACTTAAAGCCAACGAAATGTTTTTTTTACAATTCTTTATGTGACTGGGTATATGTAGTAAGTAATGTGGCGGACGGCGCCTTCACGTAAAACAGCCAATAGTATCTTCATGAAACAACCAATCATATGGTATCTCTGGTAAAATATTTGTCGCAATCTCTGCCTTTCTTGTTGCTCTTTGTATCTCATTGGTTGAGGAGTGTCAAACCTCCCCCACTCATAGCATTATTGCGAGGCTTCCTCAGGGTTCAGTATTGGTTCCTGTACTATGTTTCTATTGTACATCAATGACCCACCTGATTGCACCCTATCAAAGTTAGCCATCTATATTGACGATTCAACACATGGAATCACCCTAGACCCTTTCACTCTTTCTCTTAGACGTTCTGTTGCTTCTCTTAGCCTTTTCTATAGATACTATCATGGTATATGTGCTCAGAAGGTCTCTCCCTTCTTGTCCCCATATTAGCACCTTTACTCGCAGCCCACATTTTACAATCTCCTCTCACCCCTTCACTGTATCTGTTCCAAAGGCCAGTACTGTGTAATATTATTCTAGCTTTTTTTCTTGTACTGTTGCACTTTGGAACTCCTTAGCTGTATCCTGTTTTCCACTAACGTATATTCTATCACTGATCAAAATAAAGTGAATATCTTCTCACTGTAACTTTTTTCTCTATACTTTCCATTGTAGCCCCACTTTGAGTGGGCTTCTGGTCTTGTGATGGGCGATTCCCATTTAAAAAAAAATAATGGCTAATGGCTTTTCCACCTCTATTTTTACACTGATATCTTGGTGCTATTTACTGGGTTTCTACTCCCCAAAACAGACTGCCCTGAAATGACCTGAGTAGGATTAGAAAATTAACAATAGACATTGCAAACCACTACTTTCTGCCAATGGATTTCGAAGTAATATGAATAAAATGAATTGACATTGCCATAGTGTTTTTTTGTATTATACCAGTCTAGACAGCGGCAGCTATTTCATCAGGGATGCCTCATTCTCTAGGAGGCGCTGTTCCAACATGTCATTTTACCGTGGTAAATCTACATGCATACTGCACCGTGTTAAGTCGCACGAGTTAAGACTATTCAGAGTGTAGATTTGGGCCATTATTTTATACACATGAGACAAACACACAAGTTAATCATTTTAACAATTAGAGTAGATGTGTCAACCCCCTACACCCTACTCTCCCCCTTGACCCTCCCCCGGGTCAAACTCACCCCCTCCCCCTAAAAAAATTCGAAATTTACAGTTTGGATTGTTATTGTGTTTTTTTGTATCCCCATTACCAGGTAATCCTTTTAACAAACTGTTGTCTTGCCAATCTAGAAATATAGTTATATTTTGTTTCATAATTTATTTACCACTGCTCAGATATTCTGTGGCATCGATTCCATTGTAACCTTCCGCGATCTTTCAGACCAATGCGTTATCTTTTAAATTAAATATCTTCTTTGACCACGTTACCATTGCTACCAGCACCAAAGCCGTTATTACTTAAACATCACTATGACAACACATGGTTTACGGTATTAATAACTGATAATTTAAAGGGCATTTTATACCGAGGCTCATCTAGCTCTAAGCGTGCGGTTAATAGAAGCTCGCTCTTAGGAGACACTGGTAGATTGAATATTACAGCGAACCAGAGCGTTTAGTACCGACCTTCATCTGTGGAAAACTAGGGTTTACTCGGGTTTTCAGGTTTGCTGTAAACAACTGAAGAACATTAAGGCAGCCTCTTGCGAAGTTCTACTGTAATCGGAACCCATATCACCTGTTTATCGATTTGCGTGCAACATTAGAGCAATATTTCTTTCATGATGCGTTTAATCGAAGGCGCTGCACTTTTGATTTGTACGGTAACGTTGATTCAAGACAGTCGGAGCGAATGTCTGTCACGATATGAACGAAAATTTTACCCAGCCAATAATCGTGCACTACAGAATCACGTGTACCAGCGAAAGACAGGAGTTTCCCCCGTAGTCTGTGGTCGAGACTGCTCCATGGACGTAAAGTGTGCGTCATTCAACTACAACACCAGCAGCCAAACCTGCCAGCTGAACAAAGAATCCCAGTCGACAACATCACAAGATTTTATAACACGACCTCAAAGCCTTTATTTCGACGGTCATGAGAGCACTCTGACATTCTCGGCACATCAGGGCAGCTGCCAGGAGTTGTACGAAGATGGCTCCCTGGGCAATGGCATCTACACCATCTATCCTCCCGGTATGACTGACGGCGTGCAGGTCTACTGCGACATGGTCACCGAGGGAGGCGGATGGACTGTGATTCAGAGGCGTCAAGACGGCTCGGTCGACTTCTACCGCAACTGGACCGAATACCAGTCTGGCTTCGGTCAACTCAGCGGCGAGTTCTGGCTTGGGAATAATGCCCTTCGCGCCCTCACTGCGTCGTCAGCGAAGTGGCAACTGCGCGTGGATCTTGAAGACTGGGATGGTGACATGAGGTGGGCTGAATACGGTGAGTTTAGTGTTCAAGGGAAGAAGTACTCACTCCGGATCGGATATTACGATGATAATAGTACCCTTCCTGACTCATTGATTCGTCACAACGGCTATAATTTCTCCACGAAGGATCAAGACAACGACATACTAGCTAGTACTAGCTGTGCTGTGGATTTTGAAGGCGCCTGGTGGTACAGAAGTTGCCATACTTCAAATCTCAATGGGAAATATTACCACCAAGGTAATGTCCCATTTGGACAAGGAATACAATGGAAATTATGGAAAGGTTTTTACTACTCATTTAAGAAGTGTAGCATGAAAATAAGGGAAGTTCCCAAAGACGCAATGAACTGATTTAAAAAACGTGAGGTAGGTACAGACTTTTATTTCCCTTTGACATGTTAAGTCGGCGCGTTACGGTAACAATACAGAAAACAAAGAAATCTATAAAGATAACATCGATGATAATTATTAGTTGGAAGGAATGAGTGAAATGGGAAGAGTAGACAAACATGCTTCGCTGTCTTATCATCTAAAACGATAGTTCCCATTTTTAAAAATATCTTGATCGTGCCAACAAATGAAATTTCCACTTGTATTAAGAATCGATTTTCCGAAGGAAAGAAGAATTTTAAAGACCCGAAGTTATTCGGAATGGAAGAATATTGACAAGTGTTACGTATTATCATGGATTCAAAGAACACATTTTTGCAATCGAACATATATTTTTTTCTCAGTATTTTCATCCACGTTTAAAAAAAAACATTAAAAGTAGTTTGAAATTTATTTTGGGTTACTTCATTATGGTATAGAAATGGTTATAATCGATACTGTGTGGTTTGATAAGACTGTCCTGAAAAGAAATGTGTATTGCATGTATAACATAAATCGGTTGACAGATATGATGGATACATGTGTGTAAGATACTGTACAGTGGAACGCCGCTATAACGATCATCCTAGGATCCACAGAAAGTGTTCGTAATAACGATCGTTCGGTATAGCGATTTTGAACCGCCGGTTATGTCTTTTGACCAATAGTGATCACGAAGATCCACCGCACGAGGAGTTGTTACAAAACTTTAGCAACGGGTGGTTTTCCCTTTTATTCCTTGGGAAATTACAGCCATCTATCGTTCTTCAACATTCAAACACGATGTAACCATGGGTGGTTTGATGTTGGGGAATTTAAAGTGGCCCAAACAGTGTTCATGTTCAACCGGAAGGTGTTTTTATTTGATTATCTGTTGACTTTTTTCAACAACGATGTGCGGTACGTTTTATACATTAAAACCGGGAGCCAAGGATGATGTTTGGTATAGCCGGTTGTTCGATATAGCGGTGTTCGGTATAGCGGTGTTCCACTGTAATATTAATTAAATAATGGTACAGTACATGTACATATCTCTGTTGTGTTTAACTCGTTGATATTTCAAGCGTTCTCCCTGTGCAATTTTCAAATTACTATTTTAAAATTATTTTGTAAACTCCAGTTAAAAAAAACACGAATTGCACCTTTTTTGCATTTGGAGCGCCAAACAAATCTTAAATAGAAGAGAGTTGCTTTAAATGGAAGAGACGAGGGGTTTGTGTTCCTATACGATAAAACTTCTTTAACAGAATTGTTAAAGAGATAAGGAGAGCAAATTAAAAATGTCGTGAACATGATGACTCCACGATGATTACACGCCCCTCAAACAGTTCAATTGTAATGAGACTTGCTTTAAATTTTTATGCATATTAAAATTTACAACACGAATTGCACATTTGTTTTCAACCCACCATTAAAGTGTTCTTGGTATAATTTTGAACTCATTAATTTTATGGGCTTTTTACAGTGAAAGTATTATGTATAACGTAGTTATATGTAGTTTGAATACAGTTTTGTTATATGTTTCAATTTAGTTATGTTATGATTCGATTAGAGGTTTACACTTCACTGTGATTGAATGGTTCAAAGATATATTTGTTTGTGCAGTGCTGTGAAAAAAATTGTAATATTTTCAAATGAGACTATGTAATTCCTACTGCTAATGATTATTTAATTAGATAGATCACATACATTTGATTAACTGTGTGCCAGCTTGAATCCTCAATGTCGAATGGGCAATCAAACCCGTAAAGATGGATTTCATGCTTAGAGCATGCAATCAATCACCTCAGTACTTTTGAGGGAAGCACATTATCAACCACAATCTTAAAACGGTAACGAGCAAGTGAATGTCCAGTAATACTTGGACAACATGGCGACCAACCAGTAGGGGACCAATTCGTTTTTTTTCTGCATATAATTCGTTTTTTCTGCATATCCGGCTTCTGCTGCGGATCTTATTATCATCACTCCCATGTACAGAAAACTGTTCACTCAACGAAATTCGACATAGTTAACCTTACATATAATACTAATCAAACGAAATGTTTTCTTGCTAATCCGAGCGTAATTACTTCAGTAATAGATATGTTGGTGACTTGGTGCGTAGATAATCCTAGAAAATATCCATGTATTGTAGTTTGTAGGATTAACTGTATTCCAGATTGTCAGTGGAATGAATGACCCGGCTCGAGTTACTTGCAAAAGAGGGCATATGTATGCAAATACTTTTGTTAGACGGAAAATCCCTCACGAAGGGAATACTAAGTGTCCTTTTTAGATTTAGGGTTATATTCCTAAAAGTACCATAAGGGAGACACGTTATCGTAATTTCTTCGATAATAGGGAGACACCCGTCATTAGGGAGACATTTTCATGTCTCCCTGATGTCACAGCCCCCCCCCCTTAGAGGCACAACTTAATGTCGCAGTTAGGTTATATTTGTTGCTTGTGTTCTAATTAGTAAACTTACCGAAATTCGTGGAAAAAGGACAAGGGAATATTGGGTTAGGACACATTTAAGTTTGAAAAATTTTGTGCACAAGTCTATGGGAAAGTCTCCCTGATGACCCATTCCCGTAATTATTATTACCAATGGTATATTATACATCTGAATGAGAAGGTTGACAAATACCTTAAAATTAACAAACACCAATTCAACCTTAATATCAGAAACCTCATAAGAAATATTTGCAAGTACATGTACCCTTTTTCCAAACACGCCGAGGGCTTTATGTTGGTTGGTGCTCAAATTTGTATCCTTGTGGAGACACGCACACAATAGGGAACAAAACATTGTAAAGGTCTCCACAAGGCAATTTCTATAGATGAATAGGTCTCCACAAGGTTTTCACGAAATAGATATATGGATTTTACTCAAAAACAAGGAATTTCCAAGGTGGGTTGATCGGTTGCAAATGGAAGAGTTAGAGAAAAGGGATATTAAGTCCGAATTTCAGCCAAGGAAATTAATTCTGGTTAAAATAAAGGCATTTTCAAACTTCACTTTCAAAATTGAAAACTTTACTACACGAGAACAAAGAAATGTCTCCACAAGGATACCAATTTGAGAGTGGGTGTGGGTGGTTCGGTTGTTTTGTGGACCGTTCTATCCCGGTGTATTATACTGTTTCCATGCCACGCGTGTGTCACAACTTTGTCAGTGAGTTTCCATGAAATACCTGCAGTTTTGATGACACTGATGCGCATGCGTCTCATTTGCACATTAGATCACGCCCCATTGCATTGCAAAATTGGCGGTTGTACGGTTCGTGGAATCGCCGTGGTTTGTATCACTTGGTACTTGTTCTCTGATGACGTCTCTCATTACTCTGCGAAAGATACCTTTTTGGTCTTATCACTTTACAGCCCACGGTTCGATTAATAAAAATGCATTTTTTTACGACCGGCCTTTGCAATGAATAATGTATAGTTTTAATTATCATTGTACATGCAGAAGATATTACAAAAGCTTTTGTCTTGTACTACTGTTTTAGCCCTGTACTACTGTTGAATACGAAAAGTCCTAATGTTTTTCAAACATAATAATAAAAGAAAAAAATGTAACTAGAAACTCATCGTCTTATCTCCAATTGATCGGATTACGAGCAACACTGTCGTGGCTTCTTTTGAAGAGTTCTTTGTTTCATCTAAACAAATGAATAAATAACAAATCTGCCCTTTTATTTGTAACAAAAATACGGTTTTGCTGAGGCTGACTTTAAAGTTAGTGCCCAGTTTACAAGTGATGGAGTCAGCCAGTTCCATGTTAGGCCCTCTTGGATTAGCAAAACCCCTTTAATCGACCAGCTACCGAAGGGTTAACATTTAATTGAAGAGAACACATTTTAAGCCGCGCAGAGCAGGAGTTCGTGACCCCGAAGTCGATCGGGATTTCTTTCTGCCCGCAGTGACACCAGGGCGATCGGGCGAACGCAGTTGTTCGGTATGGTCGCTCCCCGTAAGGCGTTGTCCATGCAAATGTTGAGCTTCCAAACGGACATGTTGCTCCCTCCTACCACCATTTCTGTACAAACGCGGTAAGCATCACCTGGTTCCTCTGACAATATAAGAAAATAAAGATACGAACTACGACTTGAAGTTCGCCATGTGCAGGTGTTTATACATACAGGGTGAGTCAACAAAAGCGGAATCTAAACCCTTAAAATTATATTTCAGATTTAAAAATATGTAGCAACAAACATAATAATGACTGGAAAGCCAATTTCATAAGCCATTTTGAGATGAAAAAATACTGAAATTACTCAATTCGTTCAAAGTATATATCGCCATTAAAACGCAAAGCCTCTGTTAAGATTAAACCTCAGTTAAAATGTAAAAAAAAAAAATAAACAACGTCTTTTTGAAGGCCGGTCTTTTAAAAAAGTTGATTTTATAAATCATATTGTTTGACCTACCACGGTTGTCAATAAAGATATTCATTTAATTCATTTAACTTTTTATTGTAAATCACTGTGCAATTCAGCTGTTAAGCTGCTAAATGGTGATAATAAATCCAAATAATAATAATAATAAAAAAATAATATTATGTACAAAAGTTGTTGACAGTTGTTGAAACAAGTATTCTGGGTCATTTTCTTTGTTGTTTCAAACAGTCAGAACACACAGTATTTATTTTTCTGACGACACAGGTTTTAAGGTCATCGAGTTTAAATTGTAATATTCTTTAAACGGATTGTGCAATTTCAGTATTTCTGTTCATCTAGAAGTAGTTTATGAAATTGGCTTTCCAGTCATGATTATTATTGGTGCTACATATTTCTTTAATATGAAATATTTTTTTAGCGAAACCATAAAATGACAAAAGGCATTCCCAAAAAGTTTAAACCTTTCAGAAGATTAAACAAATACATGTATAAATCACTGATATGAAAACTAAGACGTTAGATTAATACCTTGCTGTGAACAATATTGATGAGTCTTATGCGATAAGGAAACCGGTTAAATTATTAAATTTACTGGATAAACAGGACTTTCCTTAAGTGTGCGACTGAGCTTCCTATGTGTGTTACAACACTCATATTGCTACTCTGAAGTGATCAGTCAACATGGCGTCGGTGCTTACATTTAAATCCTTTAAACAGGTTTATATATATTTCCCTTGGTTTTTGGATCCTGGAAAAGGACTGCAGCAACTGAATTGTTGTCACTTGAAGAAATTTGATACTTATGTTCTAACATCAAACCCACATAAAGTATTACGCATTTTTTATGTACTGTAATTTTCATATTCCTGTACCCAAATAGCATCAGATGTAAGATGCATTGCACGTATGGTGTCTAAACTGATGACAAGTTGTTAGCGCACATGCGTGAAGTAAACACAAAGCAAAGCTCACGCGCAATGACGTCACTCACAAATTCAAAAGCAAAGCGCATGCGTGATGACCTCACTCGCACATCAACATTGCTCAACATGTCCCCACTAACCTTGAAAAATGATGAATTTGTCGTCGAAATCTCCTAATTGAGTTGTGTACTCAAGCTTGTACGGTTCCATGGTGTATTCAATGACATCTGTAAACGACCCAAAAAAAAAAGGTTCTGGTAGGCGCCTTTGGTGTACATTTTAAATTAAAAAAGTAAAACAAAAATGAAAACATGAAATGAAACATGAAAGGAGAAGTTTGACAATTAAACCAAGTCAATCTTATTTACTACAAGTGTCCTGGCCTGTTTTCCGAACTTTAAAGGGTGAAATTTTGATTCGTTTAAAGACTGTAAAACTCACTCACTCTACCTGGAACTATACGGAGAAAGACGTTCGAGCAAAATTCATTCTTTTGAATGAATAATGTATTTGGTTATATATCCCTGGCTATTTTATGCTGGTGGTAAAGTGAAATTTCATGTTCGAGCAAAATTCATTTATTTGAATGAATAATGTATTTGAAAATAAAACATTCCCTAGCTATTTTATGCTGGTGGTACAGTGAAATTTCACTAGTTGGAAATTAAAGTGAACTGTATGGCAGACCTGTAGGATTTAAAAAGCAAATTTAGCAAGCAAAGGATTTACATATTTTTTTTTTATAACAATGAGCTTTTTGTTTTCAAGCTTCTTGTTCTTTAAAGTAGGGATTTTTGTGGATACTTATTACCTTTTCATATACTGAAGTATGTAATTTTGTACGTGTCTAAATATATGTGTATTGTTTTTATGTGCACATTTGGAAGAAGAATTTCACTTTTAAAGTCTTTTTGAATTGTGAACAAATAAAATATTGTATTGTATTGTATTTTGTTTTGATTTTGTGTATATTACTTACGCAAATGCGCTTCACCGTGTGAACGTGAGGTGAAGCAGGCCTGGCATACCGACCCAGCGTCGTCACACGTCATGTACATTGTGTGCAATCCCTGATCGTATCAAAAACAAATAAATAACTGTGTGTTTTTTGTGTTACTTTTTTAAGTAACAATGAATGCAAACAAGGTTTACACACACATATACCACTACATGTTTACGTTACATATCTAGTTTGGACATTCCTTTGTTTTCGTGTTGTGAAAAACCTGTGAAAAAAAATCATTTTACTCATACTTTGAAAACTCTTTCAACCCATTTGTTTTACTATGATTCCCTTGTCTGTTTCACTTTATTTTGCGACGGATAAACCTAAACCCAAAAGGCCAATAATCCTGTTTTCCAGAGGGGGAAAACTTGTGTGGACGTGGACAAGTCCACACAACGTATCTGAAACCTGGTTTATGCGGACATCTTTTTTTCAGAAGTCCACACAGTGAATGTAATGCTTGTACGTCTTTGTAAACGCCATCAATCGTGGACCCCATATATTGTCCCTAATTCCCTTGTTTATACTCATGGACTATCGGTCAATCGTGGACGTATTGTTTGTGCCCTAACCCTTTTGTCCTTTGGTCCACGATTGCCGGTATTTACACAAGCATACGTACCCATATCCAATAGAAATAAAACCAATGCCGTCTGAGTCCGCCTGAATGCATAAGGTCAAACCGGTTTTTGTTTGTCCCGAAAATGATTCAATAAAACTATTTTGTTCCCTCGATCGGATTTTTGAATACCCATCGTTTATAACCCTGTACAACGTACGACTTTTTGTATTGTTTTTTATAACATTAATAAGCATCCTTCTCTGCTAGCAAGAAAGGGATAATGTACCAAACGTTTGGCAAAAAAAGTTATTTATATAAAAATAAACAAGTTGTTATCAAAGGTCAATCTTTATTTCGCTTGTTTGTCTAGCTCCATTTTTCCCCTCCAAATTGTGGAATTGGATACGTATGGCAATATTCGAGTTTTGAAAGCGGGGTGAATAACTGTTGCTGGTTTTGGCCACGTGGAGTTATTATATGTTCCAAATTACGTCGATTACTTTAGATTTTTCTGTTTAAGCCTCTGAAGAAGAACTTGCTAAGTTCGTAACGTCAGGCCACATTAATTTTTAGATTTACTTTAGTAGTATATTAGGTTGATACACTGTAAAAAGTGACTCCACGTCATGCTCGTGAATCGCAGACTTTGATCCACGTGAAGTTTCAACATTGGGTTAAACACTTACACCCGAGCTTAAGCCGACGGTCACCCCGTGTGCTTCAAGTACACCATGTGATACATGACTGGCAACTTCCTAACACCTCATACACTTGAGCTTCACTTCTGGGTTGTTGAAAATATCACTTCACAACTGCCTCAGTTTCCTTTCAAAAGCCTCAAGTGTTCATGATTTAGGGACAAAAATGTGCTTGTGAACAGATGCATGAGGTGCAGTAAGTTTGTACAGTGTATCAATATAATATTTTCTAAAAACGTTTCCTTACCAGGTTCGAAAAACTTGAATCCTCAGATCCGTCAACCCAGATTGCCGATGTTTTGCCGATGAGCACAAGAAGCAGTAGCGTTACTAACAAACTCATGATGGCGAATTTTTTTAAACGATAAAAGGCCAAAAAAGAAAAAGGCCCCCGGTTTCTGGTATGCGCGCGCATCGCCGTAGCCATGCGCGTCGGCAAAATGAAATTTTATTTTTTTCAATGAAAGATGATGTCTCAAAACCGTCAAACTCACTGGTTTGACTGGAATCCTGCTGCTGCACAATTCTAACGTGTTTTTAGATTGGGTTATGGTCGAGAATAAGCTTTATATGGCCTCTCTGGACTCCCATATATTTGCACTAAGTTTAGTCGGGCACCATTTGCAAAAAAATCGTGTTAAAAAAAAAAAAGCCGCGGCGCCGCACCACTTTTTTGGCAAGCTCCATATCAGAAACCGGAGACTTTTTTTTGGCCTAATATTTGTTGTTTTTATACAAAACGTCCTATATAATATGAGGAATAAAAACTCTGTTGCTGGTTGATGCGCATGTGCTTACTGCAGTACCAATAGCCGGCTGACTGTCTCGTTTATGCCGACCGGATATAAGCTTTTATTGGCAATAATATGGAGTCGATGCATTATGCATGATAAAATTAATTTGATCTTAGTTTAACTGCATGTGTTTTTTCTTCCACATGACAGGGAAGGTCACGTATGAACAAGTTGTTTATAAAATGAAACCAGCCCCCCCCCCAAAAAAAAAGAAAACCAATATTCTATGTATGGTTCTGACATGGTTGTCAACGACAAGCACTTAAGCTGAAGGGCTTATCATATGGGCTATAAATATTCATATGTGTAAATTTGCATAAAGTTTGCAAGTCAATGATGTTCCAGTTTGCATTTGTGGTTAATTGCCAAGCATCATCGTTATCAACCTTCTGTTAAAATTTCAGTACACTTAAAGGGAATGCCTTGGAATTGGCCAGATGATCAGCCTAATTGCCTGTCTTTTTTGGCTCCGGATTTTGAAATTGGTGCTTAACTTGACGCTTGTATACCAGATAGGTGGCGTACGCCACCACATTTTATTGAGATTGAAAACCATTACCGGGTTATTGGCCGCTACCTGGCTTGATCTGCATCATCGTTTTATCGACGTGCACAGCATGAAGTGTTACCAAAAATATCAAGCCCAGGTTATATCTGCATCCAGTTGTCAGATCTTTCAGACTGCTGCAACTATGACATGTCAGTCATATAAATTACTATCCACTCTACCAAAAGTGACCTTGTGCACACGTTTACAGTTTTGTTGGAACCTGCATGACCTCCCTAAAAAGCCCTCTCATGTAGGTAATCGGCTCTTTTGCTTGTTAACGATGAAGTATAGATTTAAGAAGAGAGTAAACATTGCCACTTACTCAAGAATTCTTTTTAATTGAATTTTTGACCTTGAGTTTCTTCAATATTATACTACATGTACTTCATGTGTACGGATAACACCAACCCACAAATGCCTCTAACACTGTTTTTTTCCAGAAAGTGAAAATGTGTTCTCTTGTATGGCTTTGCAATCGAGGCGATACAAAGAGAGAACAAATGTCCTTTCAGTCCTCGAGCGTTTGGTCTTTTGTTGAAAACCGTCCTCGATCGTACCGTAAGGTGCTCACTGCTTAGTCTATGGGAAACCAAAGGGAAACACAAAGGATTGTCCTCGAGCGTATACAAATTCACGAATGTGAGTTTGTTTCTGCATTGAATAAGGGACGTTGAACAAAAGAGGACAATACGGGTCCCCAATTCCCGAAGGTCCCCAATTTGGCGATCATGTACCATAATGAAAAGTTGATATATGAAAACGGACATAAGCTCGAGTACGCAGGCCGCTGCAGGTGGTAATACTTTTCCTCATGTTAAAAAAAAAAACCGGGAAAAACACAGCACACATTCAAAGGCATTCAAAAATCTACACTTTGCAGCACACAAAAAGATTCTATTGATGCGCTATGTTTATTAATCTACAATGATTGATTCATAATCGCTAGATGAAAATTCGTTAACATGATTTTTGGCTAATTGGGTCATGCAAGATACACAAACATATCATTATATGATAATAGGGGGACATTCAAATAGACCTTTTCATATGCAAAACCTTCCAATAACCTCATCTGTAAATATCTCCTCGCCAAACTCTTTACTAACATTACTCTTTACATAAGGAATCGTTTTAAGCCACCTAAGACACTAGACAATTCTGGAAATAGTACGTAAGAATTAGTGAGAAATGTCTTAATAACCACCAGTATCTCCCTCATGTAAAATAATGTACTCAAAATGTATCATTTGTTTTATAATTCTGGACTCTGAAAAATAATGGGACGCTGACACAAGAGTCATATTCTTTGAAAGACAACTATTAACACAACAGGTGTCAGCAAGCTATTTTAAAGTCAGGAAGCCCGATCAGGGTTAGGATGTAGTTTTTGAAAGCATGAAACATCTACTATAGGCTCAGAGTGCATATATTAAGTAATTTTAGCATACATTCCGAGTGTAGTTTGATATTGCTATTCGGTGGTCAATTTCCATTATTGAAAATACTTCGAGAATCATTATGATAATTCAATACTAATCCCTACGCATTGTCCACACTAGCTTGAAAATCAGCCTCATAGTGATTAAGGGAATCTACAACATTTGCTTTTGCTGTAATTTCCAGAAGTGGATAGAATTTGGGGTTTAGCAAATGTTGATACACACGGACATGTTTACAGAAAACCAAGAAAAAAAAAGTGTTGTTCTTGTCGTCGGCCTTCTTGACCCTACTTCAGACGAAACAGAGCAGTTTATAGGTTGTCATGTCAGGGAACCAGACTAGAAGGCTAGCACCTATTCACGTATGTGTAACCGATTTCAAGCAAAATGCGAACTAACACAATTAAATTGGGAGACGGTATTAATCAAAAAGTCAGTGTTTCCCAACGATGATCAGCCGACCATCGTTGGAAATTGATACAAAACATTCACTTTTCTTGAAAATGACAGCGTACCAGGTGCCATGATTTCGCAGGATGCTTAAGACTATTATGAACTTACAGTGTAGTAAGGTATTTAATAATAATGTGTTACTTTTTTTTTTATGTTAGCAAATGTTGTATATTGCCTTTAAATGTTGCCAATACACTTATCTCTATATTAAACATTCAGAGTAATTACTCATTAATTCTTTTAACATGCATTCCGAGTACATACATTTTACTTAAATTATCAAAATAGTGTCTTGACTATCTATTTCTATGACTAAAGTACTTGTAGAATTAAAATAATAGTTCAATACTAAGCACTATAGATTAGGAAAAAGGGATTACAAGTTGATATAGAATATTCACGTTGCTTCGTTCTACCGGCTAAACCTCCCAATTTAATGAGTTCATATCTGCTCATAATGTCTCCAGTAGCTTGAAAATTCATCAATCTCTGTAAAACATACATAGTGTTATATGTTGCCATTTTTGGGCGAATAGACCCTGCAGTGAAATTAATACTAAAAAGATATTTCTTATTAGCGAACATTAATAATTCTAGATTTTGTAATGTATCGTTATAGTGATTACTGAGTAATTCCTTCATGCAGTCTGTGTAGATACTTTTACTTAAGATCTTATCAGATAAAATACAATTCATTTAATATTTCTACGATTAATACTAAATGTTAAATCAATTTAAATCACAACAGGTGAGGAAAAATATTGAAAGTTTTAAGTAAAAATCTATTGTCAAGTACTTTCTGCTGAAATTTTGTTTCAAATTATTATTATGTGCTCATTATATCTCCAGTAGCTTGAAATTTCATCAACTTCTATAAAGCATACATAGTATTATATGATACTACTTTTGTTTTGACAAAAGAGGCCATATGCAGCGATTTCATACAAAAAGATATTCTTAGACACTGTAGCCTATACGAACATTAATAACTCTAAATGTTACATATGCATAGAGTAATTTCAGCATGCATTCCGAATAAAATTATGCTTTTTAATTAAATCATCAAATCGGTGTCTGAACTATCATTTTCCTTTATCACAATTTTTGTTTTTGTGTAACGTGTAGGATATCTATTGTGACGTTCTGTCGGCTCAACCCATTTTCCAATGAATTTGTTCTTAGTTTGTTTGCTCATTAGTTCTCCAGTTGTTTAATTACCCTGGCCCTTTTGTCTATTTGTAAGTCGGTGCTCACGCAGCCAATTAGTGTATTGTTTCAGTTACTGGTAGATCCGTGTTCACGAGTTGCCTCTCCGGGGTCAGAAGTCAGAACCTGTAGCGGAATGTCTGCAACAAAAGTGGAATATGCGCGTGATCTTGCACATAAAAACTGAGGTCAAAGGCCACTGATGAGTGAAATAATAGCAAATCTAAAGCTACAAAAGAAGTTGTACTCTTCGTGCAATTCGTTTAGTTTGAAGCAAGAGCATTGCTCAAATTTTTAGAGTTTATAGAGTGCATAACAACTAAACCGAAGAAGCTCGTCTCGAAGGCATTAATTCTCTAATTTTGATCGGCAATTTCCAACAATATACATTTTTTTCATTCATCGACAGAGCGTGCAATAATATTCACTTACAGCTTACCTAGGTTTTCTGCCTTTTCCATCACGACGTCACTTTCCTCATCGTACTTGATGGAAGCGCGTGTGCTGTTAAAAAAATAAGTATTTCATTACATATTAAAAGTATACAAGTCTTTGAACTTAATTTTAATCGTAAAATTATCAATTAGCCTGTAGTTATTTCTTGACAGTGATTCGTATTATTTCAGTGAATGCATTACTTACAGCTTCGTCTTGTGGCCGGCAATTTCTGAAATAAAAAACCCAAATATTGATTAAAACTGTGTCTGTCTTACAACTGCAGGTTTTGGGGTTGATGTCATAATTACTCGTGATCAAATGATATCGAGAGATAATAAGAGCCTGATTTTAATGACGTTTGCAACGAAAGAATTTAAGAAATAATTCTGCTGAACTTATTGCACTGAATATACCACAGTGCAAATTTAACACCAATGGTATCTTTAAAGTACAAGTGGTGTAGTGGTTTCAAAGAATAATTAAACCAGCGGTCCTACATATTTCCCCAGTGTAATATTTACACTGTAGTTTTTGTAGTGTGATGACGAATGTTTGGTAGTACCTGATCTGGAGATTCGGTACGATCGTTCAAACTGTTTTCAGCTCTAACATTTTAAAGTCAATTGTAATCTCAAGAAAATCTCAGTACACAGTTGTTCCCCATTAGAACTTCTTGACTGAATGACAGCCACTTGTGATGATTAGATTGTAGACTGGTTAAGAGGGCCGGGCAGTGTTATCGTATATGATTACCCCGTAACGTTGATGAATCCGACCCTATTTGCAGACTAGGTGCATGCACGAGTTCAATCTGCTATGGACTAGCTAAGAAAAATCTTTGCCTTGTTTCGAGTTTTCTGAATTGAAACTATTTGTCCTGTAGGCTTACCTAGGCTGTTGGCGGTAGATCGTCGGTGATACACAAATCCAGCTACGATAACCACAATGCAGATAAATGCAACAATCGACACGACAATTATGCCTGCAACTAGCAGAGAATATCCTTTTTCAACAACTAGGGGAAACAAATATTGAAATTTGTTTGTTTAATTAACATCAGTTTACCTCTGAAGTAAATCAGGCGGAATATGTGTCAAAACGATTCACAATTTCGGTCCAATTAATAAGGTATATTGTAAGACCCGATATTATTTTAATGTCCATGCAAAGGGACACACGGACGTGTAACATAAACAAATAAATTAATTAATGTCAGTAAATAAAAATAAACGAATGCAAGAATGCAAGTAGACCCCAATACGGCTTCTGTTGCGTTAGCGTAATTGTCATTTATTGAGATAACTTTAAAATGATTATACCTTGTAAAAAAGAAACCTCTGTTTAGATAATAATTCACAAATCAGTGTCATGTTAAGGAGAAAACGTACATGCTTCCCTTATCAGAAACAATGAATTGTCTTTCTTATCCAACTTTCAATATAATAATCGTTTAAAATTTAAAATAGTATTCAAACGTACATACCCACATAAGCCCGCCTCTCAGCTTCGTGCTGGCCTTTCCATAAAAGAGAGAAACAAAGTAAACTAAGTAGGGCCTTTTTCATCCCTTATTTTATTTGTAAACCGGATAACCGAAAATGAACTACAGCTTTGTCTATATTTAAGCGAACACACGGTACAATAATAAGATTTCTTTGGTACTAATGATAGTTATACAAATTGTTGCTATTGATTTAAAAATACCTATGTAACAATGCCTCGTTCATTGCGTAATGAATACTGATCCACTTCTAGAACCTTCGCGAAGTGGATTACGTGACTAAACGAAGGCTTCTTTACAAGCACATGGCGGGTTGCTTTGCTGGCTGGCCTCTTAACTCTCGACAAAATAATTGTTGACCGCCATATTTGGGGCGACTGCTTATTCACAAACTTAGATTTATATTTTTTGCTTGCGTTCACTGAATTGTTTGTGATTCTTATGTGCAAAGGGACTTTCTGTGTGCATGTGTTCCTTCTCATGGAATGTTGTATTTTCACAGTACACGTGTCTTACAGCGGGCCAGAGGGGCCTTTCTTGTGACGACTGAGCGATTCTTCGAACGTTGGACTGATACTGAGGTGAGACTTTAGTTAGATAAATACTCAGATCAACTCGTTGATATGCTAAGGATCCAATTGTAAAAGGAATATTGGCTCCTTTTTTAAATTTTGTTACATCATGTACATGATGCGGTCTCGCCAAAATCCCCACAGGACAACAGTTACATAAAATCGGAATTGGAAATGTTCGCGAGGTTTACCTAGTGAAATCGGAAGTGACGGAATCTGTGCTCTCGTGTATACTAAGTACTTACCTTGAGACTTGCTCATGACGTCATAGTCGGCTGGGGTTTCATCGTTCGGCTCCGGCGTTGTGTTGTCAACTTCAGCTGAAGATAAACAAAAATCTTTAAAATCCTCAATTTTTTATTAAGAGTAAGTAGACGCATAATTTGGGAAACTTGTGGGTGTTCCTCTTAAAAAATCAGTGTGAAGTTAGATGCTGATTAAAGAAACTTACGTAGTGTCGTACTAGTTTCCTTGATGACGTCGCTAGTGGCACTTGTGATTTCAATCAAGGGTTGTGGAGTTGCGTTACCGAGCACAGCTTAAAAAATGGAACAATAATCTATTTTTATTCAAAAGTAACTGAGTGATGTTTAGTGTCAAAAAGTACTGACTGGATTGTGAAATACCTGTAAAACAAAACAATTAGAAAAAAAAAACATAACCAGTTTTTTTGTTTTCAGCTTAGTACTGTTGTAGATTTAGGTGCAGAAACTTTTCAGAAAGGAAAAAAAATAACCAATAAGCAATGTCGATACAACTATAATAAAAAATCACACAAATACATAAGGTAAATATGAGAATAAGATTAATTTTAGGGACAAAACGAAATAACAGATGCAAAACAGACTGTTTGGATTGTTTTACCATAATTAGTGAGTTCCTCTATCTTTAATTAAACAGGTAAAATAGGTTTTTCTATTTCAGTGTTTTTTTGTATTACATCATGTACATGATGCGGTCCAGCCGGGCTTATTGTAACTACAATCATCATGAGTTAAGGATCAGGAGAATCAAACTGCACTCTTTGACTTCCAGCCTCCCCCTTTAACTAGGGACGGACCCCCGCTCCGAGAATTCATGGGGTAGACCACCACATTATATGAAGACAGTCGTTTCGAGGGTGCTTACGGAAACGAAGTTTCAGTGTCTCTTATCAAAGATAGATAATGTTGAATTTAGCAAAACGTTTTTAATTTTGTGCAAAACTTTGCACCAGACAACAGTAACATTAAGACTCGAGTGCAAATGTTCGTGATTTGTACCTACTCAAATCGGAACGCACGGATTCCTCTGCCTCTGCTGTTTTGAATTATTGGTACGTGAACTTACCTTGAGACTTGCTCGTTCTCATGACGTCATAAGCGGCTGAGGTTTCAGCGTTCAGCTCCGGCGTTGTGTTGTCAACTTCAGCTGAAGAGAAATAAAATAATCAAAACCCCGAAGAGTTCCAATTAAGAGTAGGTTTTGAGTTATTGGAACGTGAACTTACCTTGAGACTTGCTCGTTATCATGACGTCATAGGCGACTGAGGTTTCAGCGTTCAGCTCCGGCGTTGTGTTGTCAACTTCGGCTGAAGAGAAATAAAATAATCAAAACCCCGAAGAGTTCCAATTCAGAGTAGTTTTTGAGTTATTGGAACGTGAACTTACCTTGAGACTTGCTCGTTCTCATGACGTCATAAGCGGCTGAGGTTTCAGCGTTCAGCTCCGGCGTTGTGTTGTCAACTTCAGCTGAAGAGAAATAAAATAATCAAAACCCCGAAGAGTTCCAATTCAGAGTAGTTTTTAAGTTATTGGAACGTGAACTTACCTTGAGCATTGCTCGTTCTCATGACGTCATAAGCGGCTGAGGTTTCAGCGTTCAGCTCCGGCGTTGTGTTGTCAACTTCAGCTGAAGAGAAATAAAATAATCAAAACCCCGAAGAGTTCCAATTCAGAGTAGGTTTTGAGTTATTAGAACGTGAACTTACCTTGAGACTTGCTCGTTATCATGACGTCATAGGCGACTGAGGTTTCAGCGTTCAGCTCCGGCGTTGTGTTGTCAACTTCAGCTGAAGAGAAATAAAATAATCAAAACCCCGAAGAGTTCCAATTCAGAGTAGTTTTTGAGTTATTGGAACGTGAACTTACCTTGAGACTTGCTCGTTATCATGACGTCATAAGCGGCTGAGGTTTCAGCGTTCAGCTCCGGCGTTGTGTTGTCAACTTCAGCTGAAGAGAAATAAAATAATCAAAACCCCGAAGAGTTTCAATTCAGAGTAGTTTTTAAGTTATTGGAACGTGAACTTACCTTGAGCATTGCTCGTTCTCATGACGTCATAAGCGGCTGAGGTTTCAGCGTTCAGCTCCGGCGTTGTGTTGTCAACTTCAGCTGAAGAGAAATAAAATAATCAAAACCCCGAAGAGTTCCAATTCAGAGTAGGTTTTGAGTTATTGGAACGTGAACTTACCTTGAGACTTGCTCGTTATCATGACGTCATAGGCGACTGAGGTTTCAGCGTTCAGCTCCGGCGTTGTGTTGTCAACTTCAGCTGAAGAGAAATAAAATAATCAAAACCCCGAAGAGTTCCAATTCAGAGTAGTTTTTGAGTTATTGGAACGTGAACTTACCTTGAGACTTGCTCGTTCTCATGACGTCATAAGCGGCTGAGGTTTCAGCGTTCAGCTCCGGCGTTGTGTTGTCAACTTCAGCAGAAGATAATTCAAATAATCAAAACCCCAAAGTTTCAAGTAAGAGTAGGTAGACTAATAATTTGGCAACCTTGTATGTGTTCCTACACGAAAAATATATGACATCAGTGTGAAGTAAGAGGCTAATTATTTTAGGAAACTTACCCAGTGCCGTACTTGTTTCCTTTGTGGCGTCACCAGTGCCACGTGTGATTCCATTCAAGGGTTCAGGAGTTGCATTATCGAGCTCAGCTTAAAAAAAAAAAAAACATTTAACAAGAATTTATTTCTACTCAAATGAACTTCACTGAGTGATGTTTAGTGTCAAAAAGGACTGAGTCGATTGTGAAATACATTTCAAAATTGATTTCAAATTAGTAGAGTAATTGTTGTAGAATTAGGGCAGAACACTTTATTTTGTTTTGAATTAAAATAAACATCAGCAATGTTGTCACCTCCAAAACAAATCTTACACAAACTCATTAGGTAAATCTAAGGATAAAACTAATTGTTGGGAAAAACTGCAATAAAATATGCAACACAGACTGATTTGATTTTCTACCACATAATTATGATATGCACATTCCTTTACACATACATGTATACGGATTATAACCTTTTCATTTGATGTTTTGTTACCGTTTTGAAGCCATTTTTATTTTGGGGGGGGGACGTTGAAAAAGAAATGAAAAGCAGCCGGATGAAAGACAATTCAAAATTACTTACGCAGAGTCTTTCCGATTATTGTCACGACATCACTCGCACCATTGGCGTTCTCAGCGTAAACCTCGACCTCGTACTCCGTGTCGGCCCGCAGACCGACCACTGTGTACTCGCTGACATCGTAGAGTCTGCCACTGCGCGTGCTGGGGCTGAAGCTCGTGGTGGTTACCAGCTCTCGGTAATTCACGAGAATCCATTGTTCTGGACCTACAACCTTCGTCCCAGGGATCCAGTTTACTGTTAGCGAGTAAGCAGTGATTCGACCCTGGTCGATTGAGATATTTGTAGGGAGGACAGGTTCAACTTTCAACAAAAGAGAAACAAAAGAAAACAAAACATCGTAAGATGATGTAACACGTTATATTGTTGTGTCTGAAGCAATAAGCAACTCAGTGTTTAGATATATGTGTTTGCATAATGTTGAGTAATCTAGGAGAGGACCACATTGCTACTTTGTGTAAACTTGACCTCATCATTTAAGTACACTCATCGATTTCAATTGAACGACACAAGTTGTAAGTAACTCAGTGTTTAGAAATATATGTTTGCATAATGCTGAATACCGCAAATCAGGCAGAATATGTGTCAAAACGATTCACAATTTCGGTCCAATTAAGGCCTATTGTAAGACCCGATATTATTTTAATGTCCACGCAAAGGGACACACGGACATGTAACATAAACAACTTTTTTAATTAATTAATGTAAATAAATAAATAAAAATAAACGAATGCAAGAATGCAAGTAGACCCCGATACGGCTTCTGTTGCATTAACGTAATTGTCATTTATTGAGATAATTTTAAAATGATTATACCTTGTAAAAAAGAAACGTCTGTTTAGATAATAATTCACAAATCAGTGTCATGTTAAGGAGAAAACCTACATGCTTCCCTTTTCAGAAAATAGTATTCAAACGTACATACCCACATAAGCCCCTCTCTCAGCATCGTGCTCGCCTTTCCATAAAAGAGAGAAACAAAGTAAACTAAGTAGGGCCTATTTCATCCCTTATTTTATTTGTAAACCAGATAACTGAAAATGACTTACAGCTTTGTCTATATTTAAGCGAACACGCGGTACAATAATAAGATTTCTTTGGTACTAATGATAGTTATACAAATTGTTTGCTATTGATTTAAAAATACCTTTAAAAAGTTTTAAACAATGCCTGGTTTATTGCGTAATGAATACTGATCCACTTCTAAAACCTTCGCGAAGTGGATTAAATCACTAAACGAAGGCTTCTTAACAAACACATGGCGGGTTGCTTTGCTGACTGGCCTCTTAACTCTCGACAAAATAATTGTTGACCGCCATATTTGGGGAGACTGCTTATTATTCACAAACTTAGATTTATATTTCTTGCTTGCGTTCACTGAATTTTTCGTGATTCTTATGTGCAAAGGGACTTTCTGCGTGCATGTGTTCCTTCTCATAGAATGTTGTATTTTCACAGTACACGTGTCCTACCAAGGGGCCAGAGGGAAGCCTTTCATTTGACGACAGAGCGATTCTTTGGAAGTTGGACTGATACTGAGGTGAGAGTTTAGTTGGATAAATACTCAGATCAACTCGTGGATATGCTAAGGATCCAATTATAAAGGGAATATTGGCTTCTTCTTTTTAAATTTTGTTACATCATGTACATGATGCGGTCTCGCCAAAATCCCCACAAGACAACAGTTCCATGAAATCGGAATTGGAAATGTTCGCGAGGTTTACCTACTAAAATCGGAAGTGACGGAATCTGTGCTCTCGTGAATTCAAAGTACTTACTTTGAGACTTGCTCATGACGTCATTGTCGGCGGGGGTTTCAGCGTTCGGCTCCGGCGTTGTGTTGTCAACTTCAGCTGAAGATAAACAAACATCTTTAAAATCCTGAAGTTTTAATTAAGAGTAGGTAGACGCATAATTTGGGAAACGTGTGGGTGTTCCTCTTGAAAAAAATCAGTGTGAAGTTAGATGCTGATTAGAGAAACTTACGTAGTGTCGTACTAGTTTCATTGGTGACGTCGCTAGTGGCACTTGTGATTTTAATCAATGGTTGTGGAGTTGCGTTACCGAGCACAGCTTAAAAAAATGGAACAATAATCTATTTTTATTTAAAAGTAACTGACTGGATTGTGAAATACCTGTAAAACAAAACAATTAGAAAAAAAACATAACCAGGTTTTCTTGTTTTCAGCTTAGTACTGTTGTAGATTTAGGTGCAGAAACTTTTCAGAAAGGAAAAAAAATAACCAATAAGCAATGTCGATACAACTAAATAAAAAATCACACAAATACATAAGGTAAATATGAGGATAAGATTAATTTTAGGGACAAAACGAAATAACAGATGCAAAACAGACTGTTTGGATTGTTTTACCATAATTAGTGAGTTCCTCTATCTTTAATTAAACAGGTAAAATAGGTTGTTATATTTCAGTGTTTTATTGTATTACATCATGTACATGATGCGGTCTAGCCGGGCTTATTGTAACTACAAACATCAAGAGTAAAGGATCAGGAGAATCAAACTGCACTCTTTGACTTCCAGCCTCCCCTTTAACTAGGGACGGACCCCCGCTCAGAGAATTCACGGGGTAGACCACCACATTATATGAAGACAGTCGTTTCGAGGGTGCTTACGGAAACGAAGTTTCAGTGTCTCTTATCAAAGATAGATAATGTTGAATTTAGCAAAACGTTTTTAATTTTGTGCAAAACTTTGCACCAGACAACAGTAACATTAAGACTCGAGTGCAAATGTTCGTGATTTGTACCTACTCAAATCGGAACGCACGGATTCCTCTGCCTCTGCTCTTTTGAATTATTGGTACGTGAACTTACCTTGAGACTTGCTCGTTCTCATGACGTCATAAGCGGCTGAGGTTTCAGCGTTCAGCTCCGGCGTTGTGTTGTCAACTTCAGCTGAAGAGAAATAAAATAATCAAAACCCCGAAGAGTTCCAATTAAGAGTAGGTTTTGAGTTATTGGAACGTGAACTTACCTTGAGACTTGCTCGTTATCATGACGACATAGGCGACTGAGGTTTCAGCGTTCAGCTCCGGCGTTGTGTTGTCAACTTCAGCTGAAGAGAAATAAAATAATCAAAACCCCGAAGAGTTCTAATTCAGAATAGTTTTTGAGTTATTGGAACGTGAACTTACCTTGAGACTTGCTCGTTCTCATGACGTCATAAGCGGCTGAGGTTTCAGCGTTCAGCTCCGGCGTTGTGTTGTCAACTTCAGCTGAAGAGAAATAAAATAATCAAAACCCCGAAGAGTTCCAATTAAGAGTAGGTTTTGAGTTATTGGAACGTGAACTTACCTTGAGACTTGCTCGTTCTCATGACGTCATAGGCGACTGAGGTTTCAGCGTTCAACTCCGGCGTTGTGTTGTCAACTTCAGCTGAAGAGAAATAAAATAATCAAAACCCCGAAGAGTTCCAATTAAGAGTAGGTTTTGAGTTATTGGAACGTGAACTTACCTTGAGACTTGCTCGTTCTCATGACGTCATAGGCGACTGAGGTTTCAGCGTTCAGCTCCGTCGTTGTGTTGTCAACTTCAGCTGAAGAGAAATAAAATAATCAAAACCCCGAAGAGTTCCAATTCAGAGTAGGTTTTGAGTTATTAGAACGTGAACTTACCTTGAGACTTGCTCGTTATCATGACGTCATAGGCGACTGAGGTTTCAGCGTTCAGCTCCGGCGTTGTGTTGTCAACTTCAGCTGAAGAGAAATAAAATAATCAAAACCCCGAAGAGTTCCAATTAAGAGTAGGTTTTGAGTTATTGGAACGTGAACTTACCTTGAGACTTGCTCGTTCTCATGACGTCATAGGCGACTGAGGTTTCAGCGTTCAGCTCCGGCGTTGTGTTGTCAACTTCAGCTGAAGAGAAATAAAATAATCAAAACCCCGAAGAGTTCCAATTCAGAGTAGTTTTTGAGTTATTGGAACGTGAACTTACCTTGAGACTTGCTCGTTCTCATGACGTCATAAGCGGCTGAGGTTTCAGCGTTCAGCTCCGGCGTTGTGTTGTCAACTTCAGCTGAAGAGAAATAAAATAATCAAAACCCCGAAGAGTTCCAATTCAGAGTAGTTTTTGAGTTATTGGAACGTGAACTTACCTTGAGACTTGCTCGTTCTCATGACGTCATAGGCGACTGAGGTTTCAGCGTTCAGCTCCGGCGTTGTGTTGTCAACTTCAGCTGAAGAGAAATAACAATAATCAAAACCCCGAAGAGTTCCAATTAAGAGTAGGTTTTGAGTTATTGGAACGTGAACTTACCTTGAGACTTGCTCGTTATCATGACGCCATAGGCGACTGAGGTTTCAGCGTTCAGCTCCGGCGTTGTGTTGTCAACTTCAGCTGAAGAGAAATAAAATAATCAGAACCCCGAAGAGTTCCAATTCAGAGTAGTTTTTGAGTTATTGGAACGTGAACTTACCTTGAGACTTGCTCGTTATCATGACGTCATAGGCGACTGAGGTTTCAGCGTTCAGCTCCGGCGTTGTGTTGTCAACTTCTGCTGAAGAGAAATAAAATAACTAAAACCCCGAAGAGTTCCAATTCAGAGTAGTTTTTGAGTTACCTTGAGACTTGCTCGTTATCATGACGTCATAGGCGACTGAGGTTTCAGCGTTCAGCTCCGGCGTTGTGTTGTCAACTTCAGCTGAAGAGAAATAAAATAATCAAAACCCCAAAGAGTTTTAATTCAGAGTAGTTTTTGAGTTATTGGAACGTGAACTTACCTTGAGACTTGCTCGTTCTCATGACGTCATAAGCGGCTGAGGTTTCAGCGTTCAGCTCCGGCGTTGTGTTGTCAACTTCAGCTGAAGAGAAATAAAATAATCAAAACCCCGAAGAGTTCCAATTAAGAGTAGGTTTTGAGTTATTGGAACGTGAACTTACCTTGAGACTTGCTCGTTCTCATGACGTCATAGGCGACTGAGGTTTCAGCGTTCAACTCCGGCGTTGTGTTGTCAACTTCAGCTGAAGAGAAATAAAATAATCAAAACCCCGAAGAGTTCCAATTAAGAGTAGGTTTTGAGTTATTGGAACGTGAACTTACCTTGAGACTTGCTCGTTATCATGACGTCATAGGCGACTGAGGTTTCAGCGTTCAGCTCCGGCGTTGTGTTGTCAACTTCAGCTGAAGAGAAATAAAATAATCAAAACCCCGAAGAGTTCTAATTCAGAGTAGTTTTTGAGTTATTGGAACGTGAACTTACCTTGAGACTTGCTCGTTCTCATGACGTCATAAGCGGCTGAGGTTTCAGCGTTCAGCTCCGGCGTTGTGTTGTCAACTTCAGCTGAAGAGAAATAAAATAATCAAAACCCCGAAGAGTTCCAATTAAGAGTAGGTTTTGAGTTATTGGAACGTGAACTTACCTTGAGACTTGCTCGTTCTCATGACGTAATAGGCGACTGAGGTTTCAGCGTTCAGCTCCGGCGTTGTGTTGTCAACTTCAGCTGAAGAGAAATAAAATAATCAAAACCCCGAAGAGTTCCAATTAAGAGTAGGTTTTGAGTTATTGGAACGTGAACTTACCTTGAGACTTGCTCGTTATCATGACGTCATAGGCGACTGAGGTTTCAGCGTTCAACTCCGGCGTTGTGTTGTCAACTTCAGCTGAAGAGAAATAAAATAATCAAAACCCCGAAGAGTTCCAATTCAGAGTAGTTTTTGAGTTATTGGAACGTGAACTTACCTTGAGACTTGCTCGTTCTCATGACGTCATAGGCGACTGAGGTTTCAGCGTTCAGCTCCGGCGTTGTGTTGTCAATTTCAGCTGAAGAGAAATAACAATAATCAAAACCCCGAAGAGTTCCAATTAAGAGTAGGTTTTGAGTTATTGGAACGTGAACTTACCTTGAGACTTGCTCGTTATCATGACGCCATAGGCGACTGAGGTTTCAGCGTTCAGCTCCGGCGTTGTGTTGTCAACTTCAGCTGAAGAGAAATAAAATAATCAAAACCCCGAAGAGTTCCAATTCAGAGTAGTTTTTGAGTTATTGGAACGTGAACTTATGTCACAAGTTGTAAGTAACTCAGTGTTTAGAAATATATGTTTGCATAATGCTGAATACCTAAGGTTGCCACCAAAATGTAATCGGTTTAAGAGTTTAAGGTTCACCTCTGCTATTCAGCAAAATTGTCAGGGTGTCCACCATTCCGATGCCGTTACCACAGTCACACACGTAATAGCCGTAGTCTTCTGCTCCAGACACTGTATTGATTTGCAAGGTGTTCGTCACTGTGTACCCCTCTACGCCACCTCTGCCGTGAATGGTCTCCACCAGTGTGATCCTTCCAGGATGGCTCTGGTTGGTTATTCTGGTGCCAGTCGGACCCAACCATGTCGTCATTGGGTAGGGGTTGCCTTCGGCCGTGCATACTAGAGTGGCTCTCTCCCCAACGTTGGCTTCGGCGTAGTTGTTTTCTGGGTTTGTTATGGTAACTCCAACTTTGAGAGATACACAAGTGGGAAACGGAAGACTTGAATTCATTAACAGTGTTCTAAACATTACGGGAACGCTTTGCATTGTCAATTGATGTTAAGGAGATGGCTTTACGAATATTCGGCAATGTTAGTTACAGACATGTTTAAAATAAAACTATCCGGTTAAAAACAGGTCAATGCTGTACTTTGAAATCCTTTAAATAAATGTTAACACAATCAATCGAAGGGCATGAAACTTACAATGCACGATGATGTCGACTGGCGTTGAAAATACAACGGGTGGTATACCGTTGTTTCCACGACACCTGTATGACCCAGTCTGCTCCTTTGTGATGCTCCTTAGTGTCAGAGTGCTCGTACCATCGCTGTAAACAGAGGCAAGGGAGTCAGGAGATCCGACCTTCTCCCACGTGATGAAATCAGCGGGCATGGGATTGGCGTCTGCGCTGCAGGACAGGATGACGTCATCTCCCTCCTCGACTGGACCGGGTGTGAGAACCATCGGCTCCGAAAAGAAGGGACGATCTTGAGGTTTGAAAAGTAAATTGGGGAAAGGAAACGATCTGCATGTTACATCTACGCACATTATTAGCGACGGTAAAGTGATTTCAGTTGTAGCTTTGTCTTCTTAAACAGTTCAACCTTTCAGGGAAAGAAGTGACGTGAACTTTAACGGAAGGTGCAGTAATTACAGCTGTGTGCTACATTATCTGAAAGCTTCAACAAGGAACTCACAACAGATCGCGTTCCATGAAGAACCACTTGAGTTTAAGGAGGGTTTGTCAATACATTTGTTATTTTCCCCTTAATATATTTTTTTCGTATTGCTACAAACATAAGGTCTATAGCTGTCCCTAGGCGTACCTCACGATACGTCAGACGATCAGACGATCCTCGTGGAGAAAGGGGGTTTAAACCGTTCGGAAAGTGCCTTTAAATGAGCTTGACGACCAGTTATAAAGATCCAATCATTGCCAAGCTCGGCACGAGGGGATACAAATGTTTACAGACACAAAGATGGCAACAAGTAAAACGAAGAACGAACGAAAATCTTTTTTGCCTGGAATTGAATTCTTTATTTTAGTTGAAGGTATTATATGATTATCAGAGCTATAAGTATAACTTCCATTAGAAGGATTTTTTTTATTTATTTATTTTTTTTTTTTTTTTTTTATATTATTATTTTGTTTTAATTTTTTAAAAGGAAATTGGGGAAGACTAATCAGCATGGCTAGGAGGATATTTTTTATAAGGAACATTGGGGAAAACTAACCAGCATGGCTAGGAGGATATTTTTTAAAAAGAAAAATGGGGAAGACTAACCAGCATGGCTAGGAGGATATTTTTTTTAGAAGGAAAATTGGGGAAGACTAACCAGCATGGCTAGGAGGATATTTTTTAGAAGGAAAATTGGGGAAGACTAACCAGCATGGTTAGGAGGATATTTTTTAGAAGGAAAAATGGGAAAGACTAACCAGCATGGCTAGGAGGATATTTTTTAGAAGGAAAATTGGGGAAGACTAACCAGCATGGCTAGGAGGATATTTTTTTAGAAGGAAAATTGGGGAAAACTAACCAGTATGGCTAGGAGAATATTTGTTAAAAAACAAAGTTGGGAAGACTAACCAGCATGGCTCGGAGGGTACTTTTTAGAAGGAAAATTGGCACAGCTAGTAGCCTAGCATGAATACTAAAGGAAGTTTACGTTAGGCCGTACAAACGCAGCGTGGAAATTTCAAGGATTGTAAGGAACGGATCATTAAAACATACACCGGAAAGTGAAGTAGTTTATAGGTTAGTATAAGTAGTAAGGAATGCCGGCATGTAAAAGCTCTTACCAGTCTGTTTTGGTAAATTTGACAAGAAACCAGAAATTTGTCTAAAAAGCGAGACTCATCAGGTACAGTTCGCTAGACCTTGGGTAGGTTTCGTCTCGAGACTGTACGACCTACCCCGTAAGAACTTTTACGTGTTGATGTTATATCATAATTTAAATTTCAAGGAAGGGGGTATTTAATTGGGTTGTAAGAGTATAATTTTCATTAGAGATCAACTCACCTAAAACGATAAGACGTCCGCTCATTAAAGCCGAGGATATGGTGTTAAGAGGTCACGTTCAAAGGTACAAGTACATGTAGTAAAGGAATTGCGTTGCAACGTCAGAAGAATACGTGTTGTTCTTATGGTAGCTGGGAGCAAAGTGTGACGTGACGCCGGCGCGACGCACGGTTTTTTGAAAACGTATAAGATACACGCGTATCATACGCGCGCGTAATAATGAATCGTTGTGCGTATCAATGAAATGAGTGGCACAATATCAGTGCGGGGTCGACGTAAGTAAAAAACGCAGCTCAGAGATTGTTATAGGTTAAATACAAATTTTTTAGTTAAGCATCTCGTTCATAAAATTTATTTGATAATTTAATAATTTTTAAAATCTTATTTACGTGTAAGAAATAAGATGTTCACAAAATAAGATAACGTTCGTGAAAAGAAAGAAGAAAGAGTTAAATAAGAATGGAAAATGCAGGGAGAAGAGAAAAAGGATTACAGGGAACGGCCCCGCAGACTCTCGAGAATTACGTAAGAACGCCAGTGCAAATCTGTCGACTTGTCTTTCAATTGTTTTCGTATTGCTACAAACATAAGGTCTATAGCTGTCCCTAGGCGTACCTCACGATACGTCAGACGATCAGACGATCCTCGTGGAGAAAGGGGGTTTAAACCGTTCGGAAAGTGCCTTTAAATGAGCTTGACGACCAGTTATAAAGATCCAATCATTGCCAAGCTCGGCACGAGGGGATACAAATGTTTACAGACACAAAGATGGCAACAAGTAAAACGAAGAACGAACGAAAATCTTTTTTGCCTGGAATTGAATTCTTTATTTTAGTTGAAGGTATTATATGATTATCAGAGCTATAAGTATAACTTCCATTAGAAGGATTTTTTTTATTTATTTATTTTTTTTTTTTTTTATATTATTATTTTGTTTTAATTTTTTAAAAGGAAATTGGGGAAGACTAATCAGCATGGCTAGGAGGATATTTTTTATAAGGAACATTGGGGAAAACTAACCAGCATGGCTAGGAGGATATTTTTTAAAAAGAAAAATGGGGAAGACTAACCAGCATGGCTAGGAGGATATTTTTTTTAGAAGGAAAATTGGGGAAGACTAACCAGCATGGCTAGGAGGATATTTTTTAGAAGGAAAATTGGGGAAGACTAACCAGCATGGTTAGGAGGATATTTTTTAGAAGGAAAAATGGGAAAGACTAACCAGCATGGCTAGGAGGATATTTTTTAGAAGGAAAATTGGGGAAGACTAACCAGCATGGCTAGGAGGATATTTTTTTAGAAGGAAAATTGGGGAAAACTAACCAGTATGGCTAGGAGAATATTTGTTAAAAAACAAAGTTGGGAAGACTAACCAGCATGGCTCGGAGGGTACTTTTTAGAAGGAAAATTGGCACAGCTAGTAGCCTAGCATGAATACTAAAGGAAGTTTACGTTAGGCCGTACAAACGCAGCGTGGAAATTTCAAGGATTGTAAGGAACGGATCATTAAAACATACACCGGAAAGTGAAGTAGTTTATAGGTTAGTATAAGTAGTAAGGAATGCCGGCATGTAAAAGCTCTTACCAGTCTGTTTTGGTAAATTTGACAAGAAACCAGAAATTTGTCTAAAAAGCGAGACTCATCAGGTACAGTTCGCTAGACCTTGGGTAGGTTTCGTCTCGAGACTGTACGACCTACCCCGTAAGAACTTTTACGTGTTGATGTTATATCATAATTTAAATTTCAAGGAAGGGGGTATTTAATTGGGTTGTAAGAGTATAATTTTCATTAGAGATCAACTCACCTAAAACGATAAGACGTCCGCTCATTAAAGCCGAGGATATGGTGTTAAGAGGTCACGTTCAAAGGTACAAGTACATGTAGTAAAGGAATTGCGTTGCAACGTCAGAAGAATACGTGTTGTTCTTATGGTAGCTGGGAGCAAAGTGTGACGTGACGCCGGCGCGACGCACGGTTTTTTGAAAACGTATAAGATACACGCGTATCATACGCGCGCGTAATAATGAATCGTTGTGCGTATCAATGAAATGAGTGGCACAATATCAGTGCGGGGTCGACGTAAGTAAAAAACGCAGCTCAGAGATTGTTATAGGTTAAATACAAATTTTTTAGTTAAGCATCTCGTTCATAAAATTTATTTGATAATTTAATAATTTTTAAAATCTTATTTACGTGTAAGAAATAAGATGTTCACAAAATAAGATAACGTTCGTGAAAAGAAAGAAGAAAGAGTTAAATAAGAATGGAAAATGCAGGGAGAAGAGAAAAAGGATTACAGGGAACGGCCCCGCAGACTCTCGAGAATTACGTAAGAACGCCAGTGCAAATCTGTCGACTTGTCTTTCAATTGTTTTCGTATTGCTACAAACATAAGGTCTATAGCTGTCCCTAGGCGTACCTCACGATACGTCAGACGATCAGACGATCCTCGTGGAGAAAGGGGGTTTAAACCGTTCGGAAAGTGCCTTTAAATGAGCTTGACGACCAGTTATAAAGATCCAATCATTGCCAAGCTCGGCACGAGGGGATACAAATGTTTACAGACACAAAGATGGCAACAAGTAAAACGAAGAACGAACGAAAATCTTTTTTGCCTGGAATTGAATTCTTTATTTTAGTTGAAGGTATTATATGATTATCAGAGCTATAAGTATAACTTCCATTAGAAGGATTTTTTTTATTTATTTATTTATTTTTTTTTTTTATATTATTATTTTGTTTTAATTTTTTAAAAGGAAATTGGGGAAGACTAATCAGCATGGCTAGGAGGATATTTTTTATAAGGAACATTGGGGAAAACTAACCAGCATGGCTAGGAGGATATTTTTTAAAAAGAAAAATGGGGAAGACTAACCAGCATGGCTAGGAGGATATTTTTTTTAGAAGGAAAATTGGGGAAGACTAACCAGCATGGCTAGGAGGATATTTTTTAGAAGGAAAATTGGGGAAGACTAACCAGCATGGTTAGGAGGATATTTTTTAGAAGGAAAAATGGGAAAGACTAACCAGCATGGCTAGGAGGATATTTTTTAGAAGGAAAATTGGGGAAGACTAACCAGCATGGCTAGGAGGATATTTTTTTAGAAGGAAAATTGGGGAAAACTAACCAGTATGGCTAGGAGAATATTTGTTAAAAAACAAAGTTGGGAAGACTAACCAGCATGGCTCGGAGGGTACTTTTTAGAAGGAAAATTGGCACAGCTAGTAGCCTAGCATGAATACTAAAGGAAGTTTACGTTAGGCCGTACAAACGCAGCGTGGAAATTTCAAGGATTGTAAGGAACGGATCATTAAAACATACACCGGAAAGTGAAGTAGTTTATAGGTTAGTATAAGTAGTAAGGAATGCCGGCATGTAAAAGCTCTTACCAGTCTGTTTTGGTAAATTTGACAAGAAACCAGAAATTTGTCTAAAAAGCGAGACTCATCAGGTACAGTTCGCTAG